CTCTTTGCATCTAGTCCCCCTAGCAATAGCCTATGCCAGGGATTTTTCAAGAAGCAAAATTCATTTTCAGGAACATTTATGCTTGTGCGTCCATTTATCAGATCCATTTATGCTCCTTTCACAGAAACGGTGGCATGACTCTTTTTTGTGGCTGCTTGACTAGAGAACAGGAGCAGGAGTAGCAGCTCCGCACCCACCATCACTGCCAATCGGGAGACATGAAGGGAGAGCTGGCAATCCATTGTGAGGGATGACCCTCAATCAAACTTTATCAAAGTACCCGTTCCATAAAGCTAGGTTTTCTATCCTTGATATAAAGGTAAAGGTACCCCTGCCCGTACGGGCCAGTCTTGACAGACTCTAGGGTTGTGCGCCCATCTCACTCAAGAGGCCGGGGGCCAGTGCTGTCCGGAGACACTTCCGGGTCAGGTGGCCAGCGTGACAAAGCCGCATCTGGCGAGCCAGCGCAGCACACGGAAACGCTGTTTACCTTCCCGCCAGTAAGCGGTCCCTATTTATCTACTTGCACCCGGGGGGGTTGCTTTCGAACTGCTAGGTTGGCAGGCGCTGGGACCGGGCAACGGGAGCGCACCCTGCCGCGGGGATTCGAACCGCCGACCTTTCGATCGGCAAGCCCTAGGCGCTGAGGCTTTTACCCACAGCGCCACCCGCATATCCTTGATATGAGCATGTTCAAATAGGCTGATTCCAGTCCAGGGTTCTTGATCCCACACTGTTCTCAAGAATAGGTTTCCAACGGGATAAGAAGGACACAGCATTTAACCTTATTTTTTATTCCCATGACACACAGCTACTTGTAAAGCGAGGAACACATGGCTCTTTATTAAAGCCAGTGCCTGCCTCATTGCACAGGCCAAATGACTTGGCCATACAATAAGATCAGATGTTTCCTTGAGATTTCTGTCTCTGCATGCGACATTCTACAACAGTCTGTTTACCTAACACTCATCACTGTATGATTGTTCTCAGATATATTGCTGTCTGGCATCTGCGTTTTAATCTCTCCTTTTTTTATCTTCCAGGTGTATATTTAAGGGTCATGGTGACTACTAATCTGCTGTCCAATTCTCAGGGAAAATGACCACAACCTTCAGTAAATTGGAAAGTACTTTAAGTTAGTGCACAGGAAATTTCCTTCATTAAAATGTGACTCATTTTATTGGAACACAGAGGGCGATTTAGATGGTGGGGTGGGAAACAAATAATAGCAAATCTGTTGTGGTCAAGACATGTGGAAGCAGGTGGTTTATAGGGGTTTTTAAACTATTACACAACTGCATTGAAGAGAACGCCTAGGCCTGGCAGCCAGATGCAACATCCATTGAACAGTATAGTATATCTTTGATCACCAAGGGCTAGGGCAGGCAAAGGCTATCTTCTTGTGCTTCCTGACCTAAATTGGGTTGGCCACTGTCAGAGACAGAATGCTGGGCTAAACAGGCTTTTGGTTTGGTTGACCATTAGGAGTTCTTACCTTCGGATACTGTCAGGGAACTGCCATCGGAGCCAGGGGGAGAGGGAGGGCTCCAGAGGGATTCCGGAGAGTGTCCTGGGAGGGAGAGAAGCAGCACATCTTCTGGGGAAGGAAATCAGCGTAGCACCAGTGGAGAAGGGGGGCAGATGGGGGAATCGGCGAGGTGGCTCCATGACTCTTCGCCGGGGACCAGCGGGAAGAGCACGGGTCTTCCGCTGCCCACACCCTCCCTGCGCAGAAGGCTTCCGCGCAGGGAGACTAGGCGGAGACTAGGCGTCAAAGAACTTTTGTGCTGGAAGAAGTTCAAGAAACGCCCACTGACTGATTCTGCCAGCGATTGAGACAGCCACGGGCGAGTGGCTGTCCGGACAAAAATGGTTCACTCAGGCAACCCAGCCAGGTGGGGCGCCGATTTACGCACGAGCAACCCCTAGAACCACTACAGATACTTAGAAAGAAAATTACACAAAGACCAAATATTTTGATATTTGAAGCTGCAAGCTTGTGGCAAAAATCAGAGGCACCTCTCTTTTCCAGTTAACATGAGTACCCAGCATTGGCTCCTGAGGTATGACTTCAATAAAATACTGGGGCGGGGGGGGGGGGGGTAGGTAAGCCCCATCCTTGGCCCTAGGAGTTGGCTCCTATGGTTCTGCATGTTGGCTCCTGTCCATAAAGTCTTGGCCGCTCAGTGCTGTGAGGGAAAGAGGTTTGACCTTCAGCTGCAAGACTCACTTTCCCCCATAGAAGTTAATGGTGACATAATGCAATATAATGGAAAGGTATAATTAGAAATGTTGCTGGGTTGGTGGCTAAGCATATTGTGCTGCTCCTGGAACCCAAGTGTCTGAGGTAAATATTGCTTCTATTTAGATCTGTCTGCACCTTGCTCAGCAGGAAGGGAAGCCAGTGGTTGCAGCCCTACGGACATCTCCCAGTGAACTCTATATTTTCATAAAGCAGCACCCAAGTAACCATTGGGAATGTGTCTTATTTGCAATAATAGCAGACCGGTCACTTTCCCCCCAAGCATACAACAAAAGAAATGCTATTGGGTGACAGAGAAAAGGTGGAACTAAACACCTACTTTGCCTGTGTCTTCACCCAAAAGGAAAGTGATGCCCAACCTGGTGATAAAAGAATAAATGATGTAAGGAGGGAGCTGCAGCCCAAGGTCGGAAAAGAAGTAGTAATGGAACACCTAGCTACTTTTGTTGTTGTTTAGTCATTTAGTCGTGTCTGACTCTTTGTGACCCCATGGACCAGAGCACGCCAGGCACTCCTGTCTTCCACTGCCTCCCGCAGTTTGGTCAAACTCATGCTGGTAGCTTCGAGAACACTGTCCAGCCATCTCGTCCTCTGTCATCCCCTTCTCCTTGTGCCCTCCATCTTTCCCAACATCAGAGTCTTTTCCAGGTAGTCTTCTCTTCTCATGAGGTGGCCAAAGTATTGGAGCCTCAGCTTCAGGATCTGTCCTTCCAGTGAGCACTCAGGGCTGATTTCCTTCAGAATGGATAGGTTTGATCTTCTTGCAGTCCATGGGACTCTCAAGAGTCTCCTCCAGCACCAGAATTCAAAAGCATCAGTTCTTCGGCGATCAGCCTTCTTTATGGTCCAGCTCTCACTTCCATACATCACTACTGGGAAAACCATAGTTTTAACTATACGGACCTTTGTCGGCAAAGTGATGTCTCTGCTTTATGCTGCCGTTTAGGTTTGTCATCGCTTTTCTCCCAAGAAGCAGGTGTCTTTTAATTTCGTGGCTGCTGTCACCAGCTACTTTAAATGAATTCAAATCTCCAGGACCTGATGAGCTGCATCCAAGGGTACTAAAGAAGCTTGTGGATGTAATCTCAGAGCCTTTGTCTATTATCTTTGAGAATTCTTGGATAACAGGTGAGGTCCCTACAGACTGGAGGCGGGCAAATGTTGTCCCAATCTTCTAAGGGTGCGGGGGAGGGGTGAGAGAGACAGGTAACTACTGACTGGTGAGCTTGACATTGCTACCAGGGAAGGTCCTAAAACAGCCAGTGTGTGAGCATTTAGATAAGGATGCTGTGATTACTAAGACCCAGCATGGGTTTCTCAAAAATAAGTCGTGCCAGACCAATCTGATTTCTTTTTTTATGGAATTACAAACTTGGTGGGTCAGGGAAATGCTGTGTATCTTGATTTCAGTAAGGCTTTTGACAAAGTCCCCCATGATATTCTCACAAAGGAGCTGGCAAAATGTGGGTTGAACAAGGTAACTGTTGGGTGGATTTGTAGCTGGTTGACTGACCGAACCCAAGGAGTACTCATTAGTGGTTCCTCATCATCCTGGAAAAAAGTGACAAGTGGAGTGCCACAGGGTTCTATCCTGGGCCCGTTGTTGTTCAGCGTCTTTATAAATGACTTGGATGAAGGAATTGAAGGGATGCTCATCAAATTTGCAGATGACACCAAACTGGGAGGGGTAGATAATGCTGCAGAGGTTAGATGCAGAATTCAGAATGGATTGGAGAACTGGGCACAAGCTAACAAAATGAATTTCAATAGGGACAAATGTAAGGTTCTGCGCTTAGGCAGGAAGAACCAGATGCACAAATATAGGATGGGGGACACCTGGATTATTAGCAGTACATGTGAAAAGGATCTAGGGGTCTTGGTGAACCACAAACTTAACATGAGTCAACAGTGTGATGCAGCAGCAAAAAAAGGCTATTCTAGGCTGCATCAACAGAAGTATAGTGTCCAGATCAAGGGAAGTAATAGTCCCACTCTGTTCTGCCTTGGTCAGATCACACTTGGAATACTGTGTCCAATTCTGAGCACCACAATTGAAGAAGGATGTTGACAAGCTGGAACATGTGTAGAGGAGGGCAACCAAGATGATCAAGGGTCTGGAAAGCCTTATGAGGAGTGCTTGAAGGAGCTGGGTATGTTTAGCGTGGAAAAGGAACAACTGAGAAGAGACATGATAGCCACCTTCAAATATCTTAAGGGCTGTCACATGGAGGAGGAAGCATGCTTGTTTTCTCCTGCTCTGGAGGACAGGACTTGAACCAATGTCTTCAAGTTGCAAAAAAGGAATTTCCGACTAAACATTCTGAAAACCTTTCTGACAGTAAGAGCTGTTTGACAATGAAACAGACTCCCACGAGAGGTGGTGGACTCTCCTTCCTTGGAGGTTTTTAAACAGAGGTTGGGTGGCCATCTGTCATGGATGCTTTAGCTGAGATTCCTGCATTGCAGAAGGTTGGACTAGATGACCCTTGGGGTCCCTTACAACTCTGAGATTCTGTGGGTAATGTGTGATTTTATGCTGGATTTCTATGGCTAAAAGACACACAATCAGTAATATCACACGCAACTTCATTAACGTAGATATTTATAAACTCAGGTTTCAAAGTGGAACATGGGTAGTTGCTATGGAGATAAGTTGTTTCTCTCTGAACCTTCCTAAGTGTCAGGAATCACTTGTCAGTGCCACTTGGCACAGTAAAATTCATATACATATATATATATACACACACACACACACACACATATATATATATATATATATATATATGTATGTATGTATGTATTCCCATTTTCCCCTGGTAGGACTCGATGTGGTTAATGGAAGGGGGAGACTAATAAAAACATAGAAAAAGGCAATCATAAAAATTAAACATTATACACACACACACACACGAAGCTCTCAGACACAACGTTCCATTAACCCAAATCAACAGTGACTTAGAGCAGGGGTGGTCAGAAGGTAGATGTGGATCTAATAATAATACCTTTATTGTCAATGTACAACCTGTGTACAATGAAATTAACCGAGCCTCCCTTCCCCCTCAAACACTCAATCTCATTGCACTCTGTGTGCTTGTCGCACAACACACCAACCCCGAAAGTCAGTTGCACTATATTATTTTCCGTTCAGCAGCCTAACAGCCCACAGATAGAAACTGTTTTTTAGCCTGTTGGTACGACTGATTATACTTCTATATCTCCTGCCTGAGGGTAGAAGATTAAAGAGGTGCTGGCCGGGGTGTGAATCATCCCTGAGAATTTTTCTTGCTCTTCTAAGGCAACGATCCCTTGCGATGTCATCTAGACGGCTCAGGGGACAGCCCATGATATCATGTGTTGTGTTCACCACCCTCTGTAAAGACTTTCTGTCCGTGGCTGTCAAGCCAACGTACCACACTGTGATACAATATGAGAGGACACTTTCTTTTGTGGACCAGTAGAAGGAGGTCATCAATTGCTGTTTAACATTGCTCTTTTGCAAGATGCTGAGAAAATGGAGTCTCTGTTGGGCCTTTCTAACACCTGAGTTATATTGTTTTTCCAAGTGAGGCCTTCACTAAGGTAAACTCCCAGGTATTTAGAGGAAGAGACTCTCTGCACACAACCCCCTCCCCCCTGATATACAATGGGCTGGACTAGTTCCCCTCTCTTCCTCCAAAAGTCCAACACCATCTCCTTTGTCTTGCTAATATTTAGGTGCAAGTTATTCTCTAAGCAAGTTATTCTACTAATCTCTGGTGATTTGCGATTGATCAGCAAAGATCTCTGAGTCCCATTTTTTAAAGAATTGCAGCAACAGAGAGAGAGGGGGGGGGAACATGTGGAAGAACTGTTGAGCTCTTCTCTGTTCTGATATTCAAAACAAATTCCTGAGCTCAGGGTTATTAAGTTCTCAGTGGCTGACTTTTGCACCAGGCTCTGGTTGGTAGATCTTCAGGTTCTAGTAAAAAGCAAACACAGACAACTAAAGTCTGTGCAGCACTGCAGAATTTTCTGGCCATGCACCTGCACTTTTACAGACAGAAAATGAACAGGTAAGGGTTCCTCATCACTGCTTTCCTATACAAGGAACGTATTATCTTTATCTGACTTGTTAAATGGGCTGGAGCCCAATCATAAAGGACACCTCAGACTAAACCACAGAAAAGAAATTTATTATTAATTATACTGATTTAAGGTTATTATTCTTAGATTATTGAGTGGTACCTCAGGTTACATATGCTTCACGTTACATACGCTTCAGGTTACAGACTCCGCTAACCCAGAAATAGTGCTTCAGGTTAAGAACTTTGCTTCAGGATGGGACCGGAAATTGTGCTCCGGTGGTGTGGCAGCAGCGGGAGGCCCCATTAGCTAAAGTGGTGCTTCAGGTTAAGAACAGTTTCAGGTTAAGAACAGACCTCCGGAACGAATTAAGTACTTAACCTGAGGTACCACTGTACTGTATTTAGATATTACTGACCTCTGGTATTTAAGATGACTGTACTATATCTGGTCCAATATATGTTAATTTAAGAAAAGCAATGCAGTACACAGAGAGAAATGGAAGCAATCCTACATTGCACAGAGTTCTCTCTCTCTTAATGATCTGTATGAATGAATAAGTGGATGAATGGGTCTTTGAGATTTTGTATATTCATGTCAGTTTGCTTAGGGCAGAAGGCAGCCGTGTAGCATGCATAAATAGTATTATCCCCAATTATGAAATTAGACTACTGTCCCTTTGTACGTTGCATAACTGCAATAATAAAGAAATAAAGGCTCAGTATCCCCAAACATCATCTAGAATTTATTAGGATTGACTCAGGAATAGGAAACACATTGCAAAACACAGGAAAGGATTTTGATCCAATTCCTTTAACCAAACATCTGCTTAAGAAATGGGAGAAGCAGGGAATGACCATTACTCACAAATAGTTACCATGAGTACTGGAAAGCAGTATGGGGGGAGAGGGGATTAATTATTATTAATGGACTACTGTCAAAGTGAGAGGAAGATAAAATAGGTCCCTGCTTTGTCCTTGGCCCATTCTAGTTCATCATTTTAATTAATAACTTAAATGAAGGCTGAGAGAGACAGCTGCTTAAATTAGCAAATGATACAAAAACTAGGAAGGACTGAAACCGCTTCTGAGGTCAGGCAGGGAACCTTAAGTGATGTTGCTGATTCAAAGAATATTAATTAAATAATAATAATAATGAATGCATTTGTACAGTAACAGTTTATGGGCATTGGAGAACAAGCTGTTAAGTTCCAAACTGAAGTATGGAAACCAGAAAACAGGGGTACTAGACTTCCGGGGTGGCGCCACCGGCAATGGCGGACTCCCTCTGAACTGGAGGGACTAGCTCCGCGGGAAACGGGTCTTCTCTGCTACGGCGAAACGGGGACCCTTTTAAAAATCACAGGCGGATGAAGCCTGTGACCCTGGGACTCGGCGGGCACCATTAGCGCCCCCCCAACCCGCTAAGGAACCCACTAACGGGCTCCGAAGTGAAGAGGGGGAAGTGGCGCGGTGCTGTGAGTCAACTGCTATTTCCGTGGAGCGAAGCCGCATAGCCATTGCCGTTGCCGGAGAGCGCTGCCTTTTTCCTGGGACAATTTGGACTTTAAAATAAGCACCCGTGAGTACTTAGACTTTGAACAATTGGACATCAAATAAGGACTAACGAGCAGAAAAGAATTGGATTTTAAAAACTTACTCTAATTTGGTACGGAACAGGAAGGTCTAAACAGGAAGTCAGCCTTCCGTTCTTTTGTAAACAGAATAAAGCAAAGACAATTTAAATTAGAGCTCAGAAAATCATCTTTAAAGGATTGGATTTCACCATTTAAAATTGTGGAACCCCCCTTCGACAGCAGGAGAAGGGGGGGATCTTTTTGGACTGTTTAAAGTGACTTTAAAGTAAAGTAACTTTCCTCCACCCTGATCCTGGAGCGGGGTGTCAGGACTGACGTTTGAAGTTCATTGACCAAAGACAAGTGTTTTTGACAGATAGCTAAAAGAAGAGAAACATAGTGATTCCACTGTTCCCCTTCGCATTTTAAAGGAATATATATTGACAAAGTATCTCAAAAAGGGAAACTTTGTTGCAAGAACAAATAGAAGTTTTCCCCCTAGAGGGAGTCTAGGTGAAACTGTAACCAACTCCAGGGAGCCGGCAGCTGTTACAGATTACAACCGTGGGAACAGGCATCTGACCTTGCAGGACAATGTATTCAGAAGCTTTGTTGTGTGCTCTCTATAAAACAAATGCCCTACTGGAACAATTACACGAGAAGGTGAATTGGATGGCGACTTCGACTAGAAATTTTGAACAGGCAGTGGGAAATTTTGAACAGACAGTGGGAAAATATGTGGAGCCCACTCAGGAATTAAATCAGGAGTGTGTCTTGACAGAACAGGCCCAACAGGAATATGAGTTTTTGGATTTGACAAATGAACTTGGAAAAAGCCAGATTTGGAAAGGGAAAATTTGGTTTGGTTTGGAAATGGGGGGCTGGATTGACCCCCCCTATGCTGGGACGTTTGGACTTTTCAAATATGGCAATGGGCCGTGAGATGTTTGGGTCTGTGGGGGCTCTTAATTTTGGAGGGTCTTTGAAACATGCTTTTAAATACTACATGGAATTCAGTGTTGAATATGGAAAAGGGGCTGATCTGTCGAGAAGGGTTAAGAACATTGTTAAGCTGGAGTTACCACGAGCAGGAGACAAGGGAAAATACAGTTACAAATATGAAAAAGAGCTGCGGAAGGGACATGGAAGAGACTTGAGGGCCTCGGATATAAGGTTGCCAGGTTAATGGGCTAGATCGACGGGATAATAAGGACTGACAAAACCCGGAACCAGGAAGAAGGGACGTTGGATGAAGATTGGATTTGTTTGTATCTCTTTTCTCTACCATTGGAACTGTTTTATAAAATTGATGAATGTTAGAAAAATGTTGGAATGAAATTACTTGGCTTTAGCAAAGATGTTTAAAGAATTATGAAAGAATATTATGGTTATGAGAAGTTGGTAAGGATAAGATTTAAGTTTTAAGTTTTAAGGTTTATTTTATAGAAAGATAAGACTAAAACAGTTTAGGGTAATGTAATGACAGAATATTATGAAACATGGAAAGGATTTGCTGGGATAATTAATAACTAGGATACAAAGAAAGGGAGGAGGAGGAGGTCTAAGAAAGAAGGCAATGACAGTTAAGGATTTGAAAATAATGAATTTGTTTTTTAAATGTTTTTAACGGTTTGTGATGTATTTTTGTATTTTTCTTTTTTTCTGTCACTTTTTTTTTATTTTGAATTTTTACTTATATGGTGGGAAGGGGTTTTTTTTTTCTTTTTCTACTTTGTCAACTATTTTTATTTGTACTTTCTTCTGCTTCTATTTATTTTTTTTATTTTTTGTAACACTTTGAAAATTTCAATAAATATCTTTAAAAAAAAGAAAAGAAAAGAGGGGTACTATTCAGAAAAAACAGAATGACAAATGGACCACCAGGCATCAATATGCTGCTGCTGCAAAAATAGACAATTGTGGGTGGACTCACAAAACTATCTTGATTAAAAGGATTCCAGCCAAGGAAAGTCTCTGCCACAGTTTGATCACTAGAAATTTAGGTGCCACAGGATTCCGATATTATCTAGAGTTCATGGTTTCAGCAAATTTTGGTGCTTTTAAGCAGATGTCGTTATTAGTATATGCCCATTCAGCTCATCTTCTGAAGTCTTTTCAGGGCCACTAATTCTTATGAAACCCTTGCACCAAGACTATGTATCC